CGGCACCAAGCGCCGCCGACCCGCTGTCCCCTCAGCGGGCACCTGCGGCACCCACCTCTCGGCCGGCCGCAGGCTTTCGCATCCCTCCCTCTCTGCCTCTGGCCCCTCCCTTCCCAGGTTGCGGGCTGAAGGCTGGAGGTCTCAGCTGGGGCCTTTAAAGGGCGAGGCTATTGCCCCCACACACTCACACACCACGGAGAGAGGGAGGGGGCCCCTGCAATGAGGGGCGACCTGGGGACTTACAATCCCTGTCAGACCTCTCTCCCCACCCCATGTTTAATAACAGACTTGGGGTTGGGGGGGGGGAAGGACCATGCTGGGGGTGTGGCTGCCCAGGCATGGCCTGGGGGGCTGTTTATTGATAACAGCAGAGGCCCAAGGTCGCCCAGCCCAGGGCAGTCTGGGCTCTAAGCAGGTGCCACCTGGGAGACAAGCGCTGTGAGCCCACTGCTCAGGCCTGAACCAACAGACCCTGGTCCTCCCTGGTTTCCCTGATGCAAAAGGGGAGCTTGAGGGAATGGAGGCCCCCACTGTCCTTCCCTAGCTTGCACTGTGGAGGCCCCAGGGAAGGGTTGGGAGCTTGGAGCCCAGATCCCAGCACTCATCCGGGCTCAGCTCAGAGCCTCCCTGGAGGCCACAGGAGATGGATGGATGGGCGTGTGGACCAGCAGCGTGTGCGGCTGCGCACGTATGACCGTGTCAGTGTGTCAGGGCACCTGTACCGGCTCTGGTAGGGCTCTGCAGGTTGGCATGTGTGGAGAAGCGTCCTCACTCCCCACCCCATGGACTGTGTAAGCTGGGGCGGCCCCCCTCCTTTTTCTCCAAAGGGATGCTGAGATATGGGACTGCCTTGAGGGGTAGGTTCTTGAGCCCCAGGAACACTGCCCCCAACAGCCCTGCCTGGCTAACTCCTGACCACTTTGTATAGTCAAAGCGAAGGGCACGCATGCCTTGTAGGCACCAGGTTGGCCCTGCTTCTATCTCCCAGGGCTGGGAGGCTCTGCTTATTGGGTTGATTTCAGGGCCTCAGAGCTGAGAAAAGGAGGGCTTCTAAGGAGGCAAGGTATAGGCTTCCACCTAGTGGCCATGTGTCCTTGGGTGCAAATAACTGGCTCCTTGGGCCTCAGTCTCCTCATCTGTAGGATGGGATTCTGGGTTCCCCACCTCATAGCAGTGTCATGAGAACAGTGAGAGGGCAATGAAGCCCAGGCACTTGTAAACACTCAGCAAATGCCAACTGTGATGGCTTCCCTTGACAACAGGAAGTCCAGGCCATTCTGCCACCCTGGGGAGGTGAGGGGGGCTTTGCCTCCAACTGGGTCTCTACCTCTGCCTGAGGCTAGTATGGTCTCTGGGGCAGGAGAGACACCTGCCCTGGCCCCCTGTATCTGTGCTCTCTGACTCACAGGGGCGGGTGTAATAAATCAGACAGAGAAATCCCTCCATGAATTAGCACAGTTGTCATGGCAACGCTGGCCTGCTTTGGAGTAAGATGTATTTTGATTCAGCAAAGTACAGCTGGAGTTTAGGCCACTGGGCGGGGGGCATCCAGCACTGTCCTCAAGCCCCCCTCAAGGATCCCAGAGGTGTTCCCACCATGCTTGTGTCCTTGATCCCTCTCCTTCCTTCTGCCCGACAGCTGCTGTCACCCCAGGCTCTGTCAGCCCCCCACCCTGCCTTGAAGGGAGCCTCCCCTTGCACACACACGCACACTCAGCAATTGTCCTTGAGGAAGAAGAGACTGCTTGGAAGGGAAAATGCAGGGCCAGGGCTGCCCTTCTGCTGCCATGGAAGAGCCCTTCCCTGGCCTCTAGCCCAACCTCCCTTCCCCAGGACGTCCTGGAGGAATTCCCTGAACACCCTGGGCCTCTGCAGGCCTCCTTCTCACCTTGGCCCCCTAAGAGTTTCCTTCCAGCCTGGAGTGTGGATCTGACCCCAAAGGTTGGGGTAGTCTCAGGAGAGCCATTAGAGGGCGAGGGTCATGAGAAATGGAGTCCCAAGCTATAGGGCAGATTGGAGAGCGGAGTTTTTACTGATATAGAATGCATAGGACTTTGTGACCTCAGGGAAAGGGCCTCCCAGGACATTCAGCTTGGCCCCCCAATTGCCCTACCCCACTTCCCCAGCCCTTTTCAGCCACACTTCTGCTTCACTCAGAGAAACTGTCTCTGTGTGGGACAGCCTTCCCAGTCCTAGGCCCTCTTCAGTCCTGGGACCCTCCTGGGTACCTAGTGTCCCCTGCAGGCAGTATGAGGCCTCCTGAGACATCAGCCTGCTCTCTATCTCCTGTCACCACTTTTCTTCCTGATGAGACTACAGGCAGATGACCTTAGTAAAGTGACCCCCCTCTGGTGGGGGTGGTCCCTTTTGTAATGGAGACTCCTCCCCACTGGTGCCCATGTCACTTTCTGGACTTTGGCTTCCAAGCCCATCTGAACTGTCAGCACCTGCAGGTGTGGCCAGGTGAGCAGGAAGACTTGGCTGTAGGCTCCAGTCTCATCCACAGCTGCCTGGAGGCCCCACGTAGGAGGGAAGAGAGGGCCTGGCTTTGGGAAGTCTTGGAATGTGCTAAAAGCTAGCTACATTGGAGTTCAGAAGAGTAGGGGGCAGAGCATCCTAAACATCACCCTGGGTTAGATGTCCTCACTCCTCACAGCTCATGGCAGGTCCAGCCACATAGTTTATAGGGCCCTATACAAAATGAAAATGCAGGGCCCTTATCCAGAAATTAAATTTCATCTGGGCATAGGTGGTTCATGCCTGTAATCCTAGGTAGCTGGGAGGCTGACACACAAGGATTGTAAATTAGAGCCCAGCAACTTGGCGAGGAGACCCTATCTTAAAATAAAAAATAGAGCCGGTGCCGTGGTGCATACCTGTAATCCCAGCAGTTCTGGAGGCTGAGACAAGAGGATCACAAGTTCAAAGCCAGCCTCAGCCATGGCAAAGCCCTTAGCAACTCAGTGAGACCCTGTCTCTAAATATAAGATGGGGCTGGGGATGTGGCTCAGTGGTTGAGTCTCCCTAAATTCAATCCCAGTAATCCCAGTGACTGGGGAGGCTGAGGCGGGAGGATCATGAGTTCAAAGCCTGCCTCACAATTTAGTGAGGCCTAAGCAACTCAACAAGACCTTGTCTCTAATAAAAAATAAAAAAGGGCTGAGGATGTGACTCAATGGTTAAGTGCCTCCTGGGTTTGATCCCTGGTACTACACACACAAAAAAAGAAAAAAGAAAGAAAGAAAGAAAAAGAAAAAAAAAAAGACGGAAAGACAGAAAGCAAAAGAAATGGCTAGGGATATAGTCCAGTGATAGAACACCCCTGGGTGCAATCCCCAGTACTGGAAAATCAAATTTCAGGCAACCGTGCAGTCACATGCTCATGAAGCTGGCCCTGGTGATGGACACTGTATGGAACATGCATATCAGTTCAGTGACTGACTAAGCATCTGGTAGTGGCAGGTGCTGTTTCAGCCACTGAGGGTGCAGCTTTGAGCACAGTGGACAAGAGCCCTTGTCCTCTGGGAGCATATAGTTCAATGGTAGAGAGGGATGGTGTGGATGTTAATAAGTAGATGTGTCAAGGGGGCAGCAAGAGGGCTAAAGAGAAGAATACAGCAGATGTGGGAGGGGAAGGGTTGCCATGGAGTGCCCTGCTGAGCAGGCAGCCTCTGTACCTGGGGGGGTGTGAAGGGAGCACCATGGGGACAACGCGGGAAGAGTAGTCCACACTTAGACTCCATGTGTGCAAAGGTCCTGAGGCCCCATGGCAGCGCAGCCTACGTGGAAGGAACATCAAGGAAGGTGGAGAGGTCGGAGAAGAGCAGGGAGCGTGTCTTGCAACGCCATTGTCTGACTCTAGTCTCCACCCAGTGAGATGGGCGCTGGAGGGTCTCCTGGGCTTTGACTAGTGGGTACAGAGGACAGATCAAGTGGCACAGGGAGAGAGTAGGGACGCTGGTGGGGAGGCAAGGGTAGTTAGGGGTCCTGGGAGCAGTGTCCCTGGTGACCATGACATGGTGAGAAGCTGAGCAGTGAAGGATCCTGAGTGTGCTCAGAGTGAGCCTTGAAGTGGCATTGAAGTAGATGGGATTGACCTGAGGACACTACATAACTGCCTGAGAAAGACCCCAGCTAGACTCCAAGGCTGTGGCCTCAGCCACGGATGGGGAGAGCGGCTCTGTTGCCAACTGAGATGGATATTGGCGCCAGCAGCGTCTGAGCAGAGGGGATGGCTGGAGAGTAGAAATGCCTTCACTCTGCCCAGGAGACCCCCACGGGATGGCGGGGGTGGGATTCCCGCACGGCTAGCATTTATAGTGCCTGCTGTCCGGAAATGCCCTTGCGCCTCGGCATGGCCTGCTGCCTTTCTCTGCTCATGGGGGAAGCCAGAGGCCAGGGCCACAGGCTACTAAGTGACTAAGTAAAGATGAGTTCAGGTCCCTCTGACTTCATGGATTTCAAGAGAGTCACTGGGGGACCCACACCCTGTGTCCCACAGCCGAGTCTGTGCCAGAGCAGAGCCCTGCAGCCGGGTCTCTGTGACTCGACTCCCTTGGATCCCTTGCCCTCAGGTCCCCACCCCCACTCCTGTCCTGGGCCTGGACAAAGGGGCTTCTGTCTTGCCAGCCCCACCTCATGGAGTGACTGACCCACAAACGGGTTATGTAACCATGGCCCAGACAGGCAGGGGGTTGGCCCAGGTCCTGGTGGACTTGAGCCCACTGGGAAGGCATTGGTGGGCTCTCCTCCTCTGGTAGGCAGCTGGTGAAGCCAGGATGAGAGAGGTCCCAGGAGGAGACTTAGCCCCAAAGGGAAGCTGTTGTCCCTTCAGGGCTTTAGAAGGTTTGAGCCTGGGGTCTGAGCACGACCCTGGCACGACCCTGTGGAGCAGGGAGGCCAACATGGGATTGCTTAGTGTCCTGGATTGCTTGCCTGCTTCCCTTTCTGCCCTCCAGGTGTAAAGCTCCTCCCCAGGGCCATCTAGGGATGGCAGTGGGGAGCTGTATCAACTTTTCCCCCAGAGATACCCCATTTCCGGTGTTCCAGTCTCCCTGACCACCCCCGGCCCCATCTGGGTCCTTCTGAGAGACAGATGGGGCTGGCTCTCTCCCTCCCACCAGTGGCAGGTGCTCAGCCAGCGTCCTGAGGGAGGGGGTGTGTGTGCACATGTGTAAGCCCATGTGGGTGCATGGTCTTGTTTCCTGCTCCCAGGTCAGGACAGCCCGCAGTGCTTAGTTCAGTGAACACCCGCTCCCTATCTCTGTGCAATGGGAAACTAAGGCCCCAAAAGTTGGCACCTGGAACCAAGTGCATGTTTATAGACTAAGACCCTGATTAGAGCCCACCAGGGAGTTGGCCACCACCTCCCCTGCTTTTAGGCTACCTGGAGGGGCCGGGCAGAGCCTCCCCTCAACCATGTCTCCTTCTTCCCCCAGAACTCCTAGGATCCACCAAGAAGATCAATGTCAACTTCCAGGATCCAGATGGGTGAGTTCTCTCAGCCAGGTGGTGGCACCATGGGTTAGGTAGGCTCTGGGCAAGGCCAGGTGCCTGGTCCTCTCCTAGACTTGTCCTTTGCCTGCTCAGCTTCTCAGCCCTGCACCATGCAGCCCTGAATGGCAACACAGAACTAATCACCCTGCTGCTGGAGGCTCAGGCTGCTGTGGACATCAAGGACAACAAAGGCAAGCCTGCTCCAGGGCCTCAAGGCCAAGGGCAGGGGGTCAAAGTCAGGGTGGGGTCCTTGCAGCCTAGATGGCTGATATCTCCATCAAAGCAGGATGTTATAAGATCAGGGTTGTATTCTGGGTCAGGGGTCAGCTCCCAACAGCCCTGCTGCTCCCAGGCATGCGGCCTTTGCACTATGCAGCCTGGCAAGGCCGGAAGGAGCCCATGAAACTGGTGCTGAAGGCGGGCTCGGCGGTGAACATCCCATCTGATGAGGGCCACATCCCCCTGCACCTGGCGGCCCAGCACGGTCATTATGATGTGGTGAGGCTGTATGGGGTGGCAGGGTGGGCAGGGCAGTGGGGCTGGTGATGCCTGGGACTGACTGTGCCATGGGCCTGCAGTCAGAGATGCTGCTACAGCACCAATCCAACCCATGCATGGTGGACAACTCTGGGAAGACGCCCCTGGACCTGGCCTGTGAGTTCGGCCGTGTTGGGGTAAGTCTCCTCAGGGAGCTGAGTGGGACTCCACCTACCTGTCCTCTTCACCTGGGATGGGGGTTGGGGAAGCCCCAAGCCAGGGCCTACCTGCCCTGACCCCTCCTTCAAGGTGGTCCAGCTGCTCCTGAGCAGCAACATGTGTGCGGCCTTGCTGGAGCCCCGCCCAGGAGACACCACTGACCCCAACGGCACCAGCCCCCTGCACCTGGCAGCCAAGAATGGTCACATTGACATCATCAGGTATGGCTATTAACAGGGACAGGACCAAACCTCAGGATCCCTGGGGCTTCAGCATCCAGGAGCTCAGGGTTCCTTCCTCTGGCCTGGGGATAAGAGGAGCCTCCCAGAAGCCATAGTGTTATGGTCAGGCTTCTGAGTATGGCCTTCAGCTGCCGATTAAAGGACAAGCAGGAGGGACTGGGAAAGGGGTTTGTTTGTTTCCTTTTTTTGGTATTGGAGATTTAACCTAGGGTGCTTTGCCACTGAGCTACCTCCCCAGCCCTATTTGTAATTGATTGATCGATCGATTGATTGATAGATACCAGAGATTGAACTCAGGGGCACTTAACCACTGAGCCACAGTTCCTGTCCCCCTGCCTCTCCCTTTTAAATTTTGAGGCAGAGTCTCACTAAGTTGTGTAGGGGCTCACTAAGTTACTGAGGTTGGCTTTGAACCTCCTGCCTCAGCCTCCCAGGTAGCTGGGATTACAGGCCATTGTGCCCAGCTGGGGAAGGGTCTTCTATATCTTGTCAGCCTAGAATCTATCCTGGCCCTGCCATTTGCTGGTTGAGCTCAGAGAGGCACTTAACTTGTTTGAACCTCAGTTTCTTCATCCATACAGTGGAGCTCACAGGGACTACATCAGAACTAGACAAGAAAATAACCTTGGGGGTCAGCAAGGGATGGACACTTTGACAGGTGCTTGGTAAACATCAGATACGATTATAGTCAGTGACAGAGGGCAGAGCTAGCTTGACCTCTGACCTGAGCAGGCAGTTGGGGACCCAGGAACTGAGGCCTGACCTGAGGGTGCTGGGGAGGAGAGTTCCTGCTAAAGGCCCTGCTGGCTCTTGCCACCAGACTCCTCCTCCAAGCCGGCATTGACATTAACCGCCAGACCAAGTCTGGCACGGCCCTGCACGAGGCTGCACTCTGTGGGAAGACGGAAGTTGTTCGACTGCTATTGGATGTGAGTCTAGGGCGTGGGGGAAATGGGGTCCAGGCAGGGGCATGGGGCTCCTGACAGGGCCTTGCCCTTCCACAGAGCGGGATCAATGCCCAGGTGAGGAACACCTATAGCCAGACGGCACTGGACATTGTGCATCAGTTCACCACATCCCAGGCCAGCAAGGAGATCAAGCAGCTGCTGCGAGGTGGGCCCAGATGGGGCCAAGGGCTGGGGCGGGGCCTGGGTGGGCAGCTTGCAGGACTGGGGCGTCCACCTCCTGTATCCCCAGAGGCCTCGGCAGCCCTGCAGGTCCGGGCGACCAAGGATTATTGCAACAATTATGATCTGACCAGCCTCAACGTGAAGGCCGGGGACATCATCACAGTGAGGATGCTGGGGGCTGCTGTGGCAGGGGTGGGTGGGACTGGGGCAGGCTTACCCAGAACACCCTCCCACAGCATTTAGGGTAGGAGTGCTGGGCAGGCCCCCCATGAAAGGATGTCTCTCCGAGCATGTTCCTCCACATATTTGGCCAGGTCCTGGAGCAGCATCCAGATGGCCGGTGGAAGGGCTGTATTCATGACAACAGAACAGGCAATGACCGAGTGGGCTACTTCCCTTCCTCTTTGGGTGAGGCTATCATCAAGCGAGCAGGCAAGTCTCTCCCAACCCTGGGAGGTTATAGACAGGAGCCTCTGGGCCTGAGCATAGGGGCCAGAAAGCAACACACATGCTCTGGCATGCTGGTGACAAGGCAGGGTCAGCCTTCTAGCCGCTGCTCAGATCCAGCAGCGTGTCCTGTGGGCTGTCCCCTTGCCAGCTCCCTATATGCATTCCTTCATTTATTCCACAAATATTGCATGCCTGCTATGTTCTGGTTGGAGCTGGCCATTAAGGACACAGGAGTTTCAGACACTGTTCTTGCTCTTAAGGGGCTTGCTGTGGAGTGGGAGGGAACAAGAGACAGCGAAGTCAACACAGAGGGAGCATACCAACCAGAGAACACGGAGAGAGGCTGGCTTTAGTTAGGGAGAGGTAGGAGGGGCTGTCTACCAGCAGAGCAGTTCAGGCAGCTGGAACCACACATGGGAAGGCACAGAGGCAGGAAGGAACTTGTCACTTAGAGGAGCAGAGGCAGCAGGGGCAGCTTGGCTGAAGAAGAGTGAGTTGGGGAGGGAATGCAGGATCAGGTTGGGAAGCCCCCTGACCTGGTTTCAGGGAGGCAGGGGATCCATTTGCCTTTTGCAGAGGATGTGGAGATTGATAGGTGGGGCAAGAGGGCAGAGGGGAGCAGTAGGAGGTATGGCCAGTCACCCATAGTCATCTAGTTCCTGGATGGTAGCCCTGGCCTCGGGCTCCTGAGCAGCTTGTTTCCTGTGCCCCAGCTCAGAGAAGGTCATATCCTCCAATAGTCCTCAGCCCCTTTGCTTGCAGGACCACAGGACACCTGGTTCTGGGTTCCCTTGACCACTTTCTCTTGGTCTGAAATATCTGGGGTCTCCTGAGGGTCTTTCAGCTGTGTGTATGTGCATGCATGTGTGTGCCACCTCTGCTCTGCCCCACTCTGTGTCAGGGCCCACCTGGGTGTACCCGGAGCTCAGGGAAGCTGTGCTTGTCCTACAGGTTCCCGAGCAGGCAGTGAGCCAAGCCCACCCCAGGGAGGTGGCTCGTCAGGGCCCTCTGCACCCCCAGAGGAGATCTGGGTGCTAAGGAAGCCTTCTGCAGGTGTGCTGGGTCCTTTGGAGGGCTGGGGTGGTGGCACTTCTGCTGGGCACCTTATGCTCCCTGTGATGGCAGGTGGTGACCGCAGTGGCAACTTGAGCAGTGTGGCTGGTAGCCGAAGCAGTGGAGCTCATGCCCTGCATGCAGGCTCTGAAGGGGTCAAGGTCAGTCGGGGTGGTGGCTGGGGCCAGGGCAGCCATGGTGGCCTGGCCTGGAGCAGCACTGATGAGCTGGCTTCTCGGTCGTAGCTCCTGGCAACGGTGCTTTCCCAGAAGCCTGTCTCTGAGACCAGCCCAGGGGACAGTCCCATCAAGCCTCCAGAGGGCTCTACAGGTAAGAACAAGGACCTAGCTGCACTGGCTTGCCAGGAAGGTGACCCTGAGCAGCCCCTGCCTTGCTATCCCCTGTCTTTACCAGGTACTGCCCGGTCCCAACCTCCAGCAGCCCACACTGGGCAAGTCTACGGAGAGCAGCTGCCCAAGAAGCTGGAGCCTTCCTCAGAGGGCAAGGTACAGGGCCTGAGCTGGCTCCCATGGCTGGTCTCATGAGGGTGGGGGCTGACAGTTTAAATAACCCCCACGTAGCCTGTCTGGTCTGGCCACAGCAGGGGCAAGGGGCTTCGACAGGCCAGACTGTCCTTCTATCTGTCTGTTAGTCTGTGTGTGCGTCACATGTGCACACACGAGTGTATAGGTGTTGTCCACTTGTGTAGGCTGTGAGCTAGCATGTGCACACTTGTGGAGGTACATAGGGGTGTGTGTGGAATGGTGCAGCCATGAGACAGATATGCATGTGTGTGGTTGCACAGATGGAAGAGGATGGGTGTGAGACACGAGTGTGTGTGGGTGCAGCGGGTTGTGTATGTATGTGCCTGTGTGCTGGGAGGTGTGAACTGATGGCTGAGTCCTGCACAGCAGAGGAGGCGAGGCACCCCTGCCTGTGGAGCACCGAGCAGCCCAAACTGAGGCCACTGTCCCCTAGAGCCCCCTCACATGGGGCCACACTACCTGCCTCCCCAAGATGGTATGGGTGTCCTTGGTGCAGGAATGGGGGGAAGTATAGGGAGGCTGTGACATGAACAGCAGCTGGATGCACCCTCCTGGCGGAGCTCACAGAAGAAGGCTGGAGGGCTGAGGATGCTCGGGGTCAAGGATGGCAGGTCGAGTGCTGACGGCAGCTGGAGCGCCGGTGCCAGGCTCACCCAGGCCTGGCTGCAGATGGACCATGGATGGCAGATCAGCGCTCTGTGGCCCGCCAGCCAAGCAAAGAAGGAGGTGCTGTGGTGGCTGGGGAGCAGGTCCGGCGTGGGCGGGCTGTAGCCGGTGCCTTGTGTCTTCCAGAGTGCCGAGGCAGTCAGCCAGTGGCTCGCCACATTTCAGCTCCAGCTCTACGCCCCCAACTTCACCAGCGCTGGCTACGACCTGCCCACCATCAGCCGCATGACTCCTGAGGTGAGTAGTTGCAGCCACCCGACCACCTCACCCCTTTTCAAAGACAGGTCCCTGCCTCCTGCCAACAGGCCTCTTCTGTGCCTAGGACCTCACGGCCATTGGTGTCACTAAGCCAGGCCACCGGAAGAAGATCACAGCAGAGATCAGCGGCCTGAGCATCCCTGACTGGCTGCCTGAACACAAACCTGTAAGGCTCCCCACAGCCTGGTGGTCGAGCCAGGACTGGCAGACAGATAGACAGCCAGCCTCCCTGCCTCCAGCCCTTACCTGTCCTCTGGGGCTCTAGGAAGTGGACAGTGGATGGCCCACCAGCAGAGAGTTGCCTGGAGAGCTTCTGTCCATGAGGGCATTGGGACCAGCCCCCTAGGCTGGGGCCTTTCAGGGTGAGGGGAGCCTCAAAACAGTAGCGTGTCCCTCCATACACAGGCAGCACCTGCTCAGCTCTGCCCATTGAGCATCCATGCAGGCTACAGAGGGCCCATGTCGGGATATGCCAGCTACACCCTGGCATGTGCTCCAAAAGACACTGACAACTGCATGCTCGTACACAGGCTCCACCATGTGTGCTGGCCTGTGACAACAGCTAACTAACCTTCTCATGGTACCTGCACAGACCATGGCCTATGCTGTTGCTAACAGGGATGTGCCCATATCAAGTGACAGTTTCTGGGCTTGCTGAAAGTGGGCCCGGCCACCCAATCTGATGCTGTTTCTTTGGGCTATACACTGAGCTGCAGGCCTCCAGTCATCAGTGGGAGAAGTGCCAGTGGCCACCCAAACCCTTGCAGGGCCCTGGGTCTGTGACAAGTGGGTCTGCATTCATCCCCACCCCACCTCCTGGCTTATCCACTCAGTCAGCAGCTCAGGGGTCCTCTCAGGAGCATGTGTAGGTCCCATGGGCCTCGCCTCACTCTGTCACCAGTGTGACTGAGGGTGCTGTGTTGGTGCATGAGTGACATCCAGCTGGAAGCTCAGGAAACAGGCAGTTCTTGGTGAAGACTTTTGTGGATATTTGCACACACATGTGATATGACTGTGTGGTGTGTATGTGGCACATGTGTGACCACGAATCTGATGTGGGTAGGGAGACGGCAGGAGTGTGAGCATGAGGCAGGAGGGGGTGCGATGCCTGCGTGTGGCTGGGAGTGCTGTGTGCAGGGTGTACTTGTATCCTGGTAGCACTGTGTGTCTGTGTCCACGGTGTATGGGTGCTTCCTCAGGGCACTGTGCCCCTGGCCACCTGACCAGGCAAGGAAGTGTTTTCTTCCCCCTAAAACCTAAGGAGAGTGTCCTGAGGATAGGTCCCTCTGTGTCCATTTGCGTATGTTAACTCGTGTGTGCACAACAGTGCCTGGTGGCTGTGCTAAGGAGCTGGCCTGGGGCATCTGCACCTATATTGTCTCCGATACTGACATCTTGGGCCTGTCCATTTGTCCTCCTGTCTGTCTGTGCCCTGCTGGCCTAGTGCTCCTTCTTCCAATTGTTCCAAGTAGTTGGGCAAGGTGTGGGCAGCTGGCTTGGGCTGCCCCTCTGTGTCCCCTGCTCTGTAGGCTAACCTGGCTGTGTGGCTGTCCATGATTGGCCTGGCCCAGTACTACAAGGTGCTGGTGGACAACGGCTATGAGAACATTGACTTCATCACTGACATCACCTGGGAGGACCTGCAGGAGATTGGCATCACCAAGCTCGGTAAGGCTCTGTCCCCAGCCCCTGCCCTCTCTTCCTCTGGGGCTGCTTGACCTGCTCCGTGTTCCCCTCTCAGGACACCAGAAGAAGTTGATGCTGGCAGTGAGGAAGCTGGCAGAGCTGCAGAAAGCAGAATACGCCAAGTATGAGGGAGGGCCCTTGCGCCGGAAGGCACCCCAGTCGCTTGAAACGATGGCCATTGAGTCACCGCCCCCACCTGAGCCTGCCCCAGCTGACTGCCAGTCTCCTAAGATGACCACTTTTCAAGACAGTGAGCTCAGTGGTGAGCTGCAGGCAGCCATGACTGGCCCAACAGAGGTGGGTGCCGCTGCTGCTGAGAAGCCCTCCAACCACCTGCCGCCCACCCCAAGAGCTACCATGCAGCAGGAGCCCAGCTTGGGTGGACGGGCTCGGCACATGAGCAGCTCTCAGGAGCTGCTGGGCGACGGGCCCCCTGGACCTGGCAGTCCCATGTCACGAAGCCAGGAGTACCTACTGGATGAGGGACTAGCTCCTGGAACCCCACCCAAGGAGGCCCGGCCTGGCCGCCATGGCCACAGCATCAAGAGGGCAAGTGTGCCTCCAGTTCCCGGCAAGCCAAGGCAGGTCCTTCCACCAGGTGCCAGCCACTTCACGCCTCCTCAAACTCCCACCAAAGCCCAGCCAGGCTCTCCCCAGGCCCTCGGGGGACCTCATGGTCCAGCCCCAGCCACTGCTAAGGTGAAGCCCACCCCACAGTTGCTGCCTCCAACGGAGCGACCCATGTCACCCCGCTCCCTGCCTCAGTCACCCACCCACCGTGGCTTTGCTTATGTGCTACCCCAGCCTGTGGAAGGGGAGGTAGGGCCAGCTGCTCCAGGGCCTGCACCCCCGCCTGTGCCAGCGGCTGTGCCCACGCTGTGCCTACCCCCAGAGGCTGATTTGGAGCCAGGTCGGCCCAAGAAGCGTGCCCACAGCCTGAATCGTTACGCAGCATCTGACAGTGAGCCTGAGCGAGATGAGCTGCTAGTGCCCACTGCTGCTGGACCCTATGCCACAGTCCAGCGGCGAGTAGGCCGTAGTCACTCAGTGAGGGCACCTGCTGGCACTGACAAGAATGTCAACCGCAGCCAGTCATTTGCTGTGCGGCCCCGCAAGAAGGGACCCCCACCACCTCCACCCAAGCGCTCCAGCTCAGCCATGGCCAGTGCCAACCTGGCTGATGAGCCAGCTCCAGATGTTGAGATAGAAGATGGCCGGCTGGGAGTCCGGGCACAGCGCCGGCGGGCCAGCGATCTGGCTGGCAGTGTGGACACGGGCAGTGCCGGCAGCGTGAAGAGTATTGCGGCCATGCTTGAGCTGTCTTCCATTGGGGGTGGGGGACGGGCTGCCAGAAGGCCACCTGAGGGCCACCCCACAGCTCGGCCTGCCAGTCCAGAGCCAGGCCGGGTGGCCACAGTGTTGGCCTCAGTGAAGCACAAAGAGGCCATTGGACCTGATGGTGAGGTGGTAAACAGACGCCGCACACTCAGTGGGCCTGTCACTGGACTTTTGGCCACAGCCCGCAGAGGGCCAGGGGAGCCAGAAGATCAAGGCCACTTTGTGGAAGATGGTGCAGCCCGGCAGCGGCCTCGAGGTCCAGCCAAGGGTGAAGCGAATGTGGAGGGCCCACCACTGGCCAGGGTGGAGGCCAGTGCCACGCTCAAGAGGCGCATCCGGGCCAAGCAGAGTCAGCAGGAGAATGTCAAGTTCATCCTAACAGAGTCTGACACAGTCAAGCGCAGGCCCAAGGCCAAGGAAAGGGAAGCTGGGCCTGAGCCACCCCCACCACTGTCCGTGTACCAGAATGGCTCGGCCACCATGCGCCGAAGACCAGCTTCAGAGCAGGCTGGAGCCCCAGAGCTGCCCCCACCACCCCCACCTGCTGAACCCCCACCCACTGACTTGATGCACCTGCCCCCACTTCCCTTGCCCGATAGTGATGCCCGGAAGCCGGCAAAGCCACCTGTCTCTCCTAAACCTGTCTTGGCTCAGCCTGTGCCCAAGATCCAGGGCTCACCCACACCTGCCTCCAAGAAGGTGCCACTGCCAGGCCCTGGCAGCCCAGGTAGGTACAGGGAGCCAGGAGGGCAGGGTGAGTAGAGGCAGTAGGACCCCAAATCAGAGGGATTTTCCTTTTCTTGGATTTGATGATGCCTGCCTGGGTGGGATTGGAGTGTTCACAGCCCTCTCTCATTCATCCACCACTGGCAACTGTCACAGCCCAGGGAGAGGAAAGGTGGACTTGACTCTCAGTCAAGGAAGCACAGAGACCCATGAGCAGTACATCTGTGCAGGGAGGACCCTGACCTCCTCCAAGAGGAGGACTACTCAGGTGCAGGAGGCAGGGGAGGCTCCTAGGTAGAAGGATAGAGGTGTAAGGGCCTTAGGCATTCAAGCAACTGGCTGCAATAGGTCACACGTTAAGGGGGTTCTGAAGCGGTGATACGAACAGGTTTGCACGTGGCAGAGCGGAGGGCCGCGGGAGGGCTGGAGTGAGGGGCAGCGTCTCGGCTTAACCATGTGGGAGCTGGGGCGCAGCAGCAGGGCTTGCGCTCGCCCTGGGTGCCAGCGTGATCCTCCCCGCAGAGGTGAAGCGAGCCCACGGCACGCCGCCCCCCGTCTCCCCCAAGCCGCCGCCGCCGCCCACGGCGCCTAAACCCTCCAAGACCGTGGCGGGGCTACAGTCGGGCAGCGCCAGTCCATCGCCTGCGCCCTCGCCGGCGCGCCAGCCGCCAGCCGCCCTCGCAAAGCCGGCCAGCACGCCACCCTCACTGAGCGCCAGCCCCGCCAAGCCTCCATCCCCGGGTGCGCCCGCGCTGCACGTGCCCACCAAGCCCCCGCGGGCTGCGGCCGCCGCTGCCGCCGGGGCCCCCATTGCCCCCGACGGCGCCTCGCCCGGGGACAGCGCGCGGCAAAAGCTGGAGGAGACGAGCGCGTGCCTGGCCGCCGCGTTGCAGGCGGTGGAGGAGAAGATACGGCAGGAAGACGGGCAGGGCCCGCGGTAGGTGGGGCGCGCCCCTAGGGCTCGGAGGCGGGGCGGGGCCGGAGGGCGGGGCGAGGCTGGGAGCCGGGCGGGCGGGGCCAGAGAGCGGGGCTCTGGGCGCTCCGCCTGGCTCACGCGCGCCGCCCGCAGCCCGTCCGCGGTGGCAGAGAAGAGCACCGGCAGCATCCTGGACGACATCGGCAGCATGTTCGACGACCTGGCCGACCAGCTGGACGCCATGCTGGAGTGAGGCGGCCGCCCATGTCGGGCCCGAGGCGCCCTGGCTCCGGCCTGCACACTGACCTTTACCTCAGGACGGGCAGCTCCGGGCGCGGGCGGACCCGACTCGGGGCGGGCCGTGCTGCCAGCCCCCGCACAAGCACAACTCCCGCCCCTGGCCTGGGCCTAGCCTGCCTAGAGGACCACCGGGCCAGGGGGCCCCAAGGGCTCTGGGCAGACGCACCGCCCCGCGATGCCCGTCCCTTATCTGCTGCTCCCTGTGCAATAACTGCTGGGCCCTGCCGCCCGTGCCAGCCCAGGCTGGTCCCCGTGGGTGCGGGTGAAGAGCAGCCTCTCCCTTGCTCAAGAGGAAAAGGGAGAGGACAGCCGCTGTGGACCCCTCCCCAATCTATGGCACAGCACAGGCCCTTGCCCAGCACAGAACTGCCCTTTGGGGGACCTCTGCCAGCCTCTCGGGGCAGCACAAGGGGCAGGGGGCCAAGGTTGGGCCCCAGCATATAAGCTATCAAGAGTATTAATTTATTGGGAATGAGCTGAAGCAGATTTCCCCAGAGAAACAAAAAGGTATAACTTTAACAAATATATATTTAAAAAAAGAAAAAAAATATTATTGATTCTATAGAAAACCATTTACCAACTGGAAGGACACTGGAATCCAGTTCAAGACAAAAGCTGTCAGGGACCCAGGCCACCCTGTGTCCTTCCCTTCCTTTGCCTGGGAGTGGCCACGGCCCTGACTACTAGCACACACAGGAGGCTAAGTCCAGGGAGGTTGGGGTTTGGCCCAGGTCTCTTCTGCCCTTCTCCATTGTGACTTCTCTGCGTCTGAAGAACTTGAAGGATGTGCCTTGCTCGCTGATAGTCTGTGTCCTCCATGCCACTGAGACCGTGGAGAGGGCTCCCTCTTGGCTGAGGCCACGTCCTGGGGATGCTGCTGTGTGGGTGTGCTGTGTGTGCAGCATGGTGAATGGGGCATGTCAGCTGTGCATCAGCAGTGTGGGTGCAGGAGTGTGACAGGCTGTGGGCAGAGGTGCATGAGGGTGCACCACACCCTCCCTCCCCAGGGCCCTGCACTGGCACCAGTCCACCGCACTGGAGTTCCCACAGATGCTCTGCTCATGGTCCAAGGCTGTGTTGTTTGGTCATTCTCACCCTCTTTTTTCCTCTCCTTTCCTCCCCCCCAAAAAGTACTGACTGGTCTCCTCTATTGTGTTTGCTGATCCACAAGTGTTGGACACAACTTTGCCATTTCTTTAAAACAAACAAAAAGAATTAAACCTGAAAACCAGCGACTGTGGTGCCGGCTGGTGGAGGGGGCCTGCTAAGGGGTGTCCAGGCATCAGGCCCCTTCCAACTTTCACACCTGAAGCTTCCCCCTAAGTGGATGTGCTCCCCCCTGGCTTCTCCTTGGTGGGCAACCCAGACTGGGGCTCCAGCAAGTGGGGAGGGATGATTGGGCAGAGAGCTGCTGTCAGCTGTCAATAAACAGCAGAAAACAGAGCTGCCTGGCTCTCTCTTTGAGGGTATGTTGGGAAAAGTGGGGTGTGGGGACTGGAGGCTGGGAGCCAACGGGTGGTGAGCCTCTCCTGCAGGGAGGAAAGGTCCCCCCAACCTCTTTCCCTCAATGCTGTTTTCTGTATATACCAATGTCCTGAGGGCCATGTGTAACCCCTGGCCCCAGGATGTGTCCCCACTCATGGCCACAGTCTGTGCAGCTTTTATTTCAATCAGGAAGTAATCAAATAAATCTATATACAGTCTAAAAACAGTAGAAAAGGTAAGTAAAAAGGCCCATAGTCCAGTTGGGGTGGGGACAAAGGGTCGGCTGGGCAAGCATCGTACCTGGCACCCAGAGAAGAGCCTGGGCGTTGCCCTAACCGCAATGAGACAGGGCCGAGTTGAGTAGAGGGAGGTTCACGGAGTGAGGGCAGGGAGGGCACTGCCTGGCCACATGACTCTGTCTGCTCCTACAGGGCAGGAAGAAGCTCCAGGGCCATCCCGTGTTGCCAGCTTGGCTCAGACAGACCCACAGGGAGTAAAGGCCTGGCCTGAATTCTGTTAGCATGTCCAAACCTGCAAAGAAAGGTCTGTTTAAGGTGCTGCTGTGGCCCAAGGACACTTGTCAGTCACATCTGCCCTACACTGGCACAAACCAGGGGCCACTAGCTCCTCATCCTCTCTATCCCTCCATTCTGTGCAGCCCCTTTGAATAGTCTGAATCATAGACACTGACCTTCACAGTGCTATCCACAGCTCCTGAGAAGAGCCGGCCCCGGGACACAGCCAATGCAGTCACACTACCCTGGTGGCGCAGTAGGGTCTGGGTGCAGATCATGTTATCCATACTCCAGACCTGGGGGGCACAGGGAATGTGAGGGCCCACCCAAGCCCAGACATCTTCCCTCTGCACCTCTTGTTGCTACTGGGCCAGGATGTACCCTGAGGGACCGGTCGTAGGACGCACTGAAGACTTTGGTCTGGTCTGGTGTCGAGATGACTGCCAAGGCATAGACGGTTCCCACATGGCCTGTTAGGGTCCGCACCTGCTCCTTGGACTCGATGTCCCATACCTGAAGGGGGATATGGGACAGGCACAGGCAGTCAGAGAGATCCAGAATGAGGAGAAGATGGGCCCTGAGTCAATCCTGCCCCTGGGTACTCAGCCCTTACATGGATGAGGTTCTCATAGGTGCCACAGACAATGTGGTGATTCGTCACAGCGATGGAGTAGACACTGCCACCAGATGTCTGTAGGACGTGGATGCAGTCGAGGGTCCGGATGTCCCAGATCTATGGGCAATTGTCCCCACTTGGTCCAGGCCAGGAGCCTCACCCCCAAGTCTCTGAAGCTCAGATACTAAGGCAGCCTGCCCACCCACCCAGGTTATGTACAACTGTAGGGGCAGGATAGAGGGAATGCTCAGGGATGGCCTTGCAAGTGTAGCAGAGGGCAAGGCCTTGCCAACAGGGGGTAGCCTGGCACACCTTGATTGTCTGGTAGGAGCCACTGTACAAGTAGCTCTGGGCTGCCACCAGGGCCCGCACCCAGTGGTTGAGGCCTGTGAGTTCCTTCTTCAACTTTAGTTCAGTACCCACGATGTCCCAGACCTGTGGGGATGGCTGTGAGCATAGGCTGGGTCAGTGCCCAGTGCCCTGATGCTGTGCATGTGCACGCACACTCTTGCCTGTACCTTAATGGCCTTCAGGGAGCCACTGAAGAGCATGTTGTGAGAGGACACAAGTGTGCACACAGGGTTGTCATGGGCCCGGATGGTGTTCACCTTCTGCAGGTTCTGGATGTCCCACACCTAAGGTGGTGAAGGCAAGCCTTAGGACAGTCCTGCTGCGTGAAGCCTGGGCAGTGAGGTGGGAGCTGGGCCTCCTCTCCCCATGCCTCCCCCCACTGGCCCCACTCACAATGATAGTGCAATCTGCAGAGCCACTATAGAGCTTGCACCTGGAGAAGCAGAGCCAACAGGTGAGGGAGAGGGAAGGTGCCATCCTTTCTGACAATCCCCTGGCTAGGGCCAAGTGAACCAGCATCTTGGCCTGGTGCCAGAGCCTCTGCTGTTTCTGAACCACATCCAGTGTGTGTGGGAACCTTGGTAGTGGCAGCCTAGCTCCTGGTGCCTGCCTGGCAAGCATCTGATAGCCGAGCTGGGCAAGAGTCACCAGCCATTAGCCCCACTGCCAGGAAAACTGCTACAGCTAGTGACCGAGCACCTCTGCCTCTTGATACATACTCACACGCATTAAGGCCCACACATGGTCTCCCAACATGAGACCAGAAGTCAGGTCCAGAGAAAAGGCCCTCCCCCAGGGAAAAGGAGGTGGCCAGGAAATGCTCCATATCAGGGCCCTGGCTTGCTAGTGATGCTGATCTCCTGCCTCTGCCCTCTAGGTCTGGCCACCTAAGGTGCACCAGGGCTAGGGTCAGGATCTGTTGGGAGGCCAGTGCGCTAACACACAACTCTGGAGACAGAACCACCACCCAGGGACCCAGCACCACACAGGGCTGAGGGTGCCCTAAGGTAGAACAGACACAGCCACACAGGCTGAGCTCATAGCCCATTGGGCCACAGCAGTGCCTCTTGGTCAGTGGGCACACACATGCCTGGACTCACCCCTGGATGCAGAGAGCTAGCACAATGCCGTCATGGCCCTCCAGTGTCTTCTGGCATTTGTAGGTGGTACAGGTGTCCCATACCTGCAGAGACCAGGGTCAGAGTAGATCCAAGCAGGATCAACCCAGTGCCATGGGGCAGGATGGCAGGATAAAGAAGCCAGCCATCCAGGGGAGAAGGCCCTGCCTGGGCAGGAACCCACCCACCTTGATGGTCTTGTCAGAGGAACCACTGAAGAGCAGGTCACCCATGGAGTAGACACAGAGACACCAGACAGGGCCCTGGTGGCCTACAAAGGTCCCTTTGCACTTGAAGATCTGCTGAGGGTCGTAGGCTGCAGATGCAAGAAGCTGGTGAGGGACCCATGGGGGTCCAGGGAATAGTGTGTGGAAGCAGTAGGGGGCCATACTCACATCCTAGGATGCCCATGTTCAGCCTTGCGTTGATGTGGGACAGCTCATCCTACAAGGCCAAGAACAGAAGGGAGAGTGGTAAATGGAGCTGCCATGGCCTCTGGTGCAGCCCTCAGGCCTGGGCTGAGCAGGGGTGGCAGCAGCCCTCACCCAAATAGACTTCTAACTCCAACTAAGGCCAGTGGGGGAGGCCTGCTTGCTGGGGCCCACCTTCCTGCATCTCACCCACCTGCATGCCCAGCCCACTCACATTCAACATGGATGCATCCCTCCGGAACTCCATGAGGTCCTCGCTGAGTTTGCTCTGATTTTCATCCAGGACATCTGCACAGCAGGAGAGAAGGTGTCACTGGCATCAAGAGCAGTGGCTGTACCCTGTACCCTCTGGGTTGGCCCTCACCAAACTTGAGCTCGAGGCTCTTCTCTAGCTGGTCAATCTTCTCAGAGAGCTTGCCCAGCATGGAGCGCAGGAAGGCTATCTCCTGGTCCTTTTGTGCCAAGGCCACATGCATCTCATGGAAGCGGTCATCTGTCTGCTGCAAGAACTCCTTCAGGCCCTCAAACCTGCATGTCTCTAGATGTGTCTCATATGTGTCCTGGTTCCCGATGAAGGTGCACCTGGGGGAACAGGACAGCTGCCCAATTGCCTGCCTGCCAGGACCCCTTCCCTGGCTTCTCTGACCCCAAGAATCCCTTAAGAATCCTCCCCTGCTGTAGCCAACACACACCAGATTCTGCTGCCCTCCCACCTGCCTGACCTCCAGCACCCAGCAAGCTACTTCCTGAGAGAAATCCAATCATGCACCCTCAAAGCTCTTCAAAGTTTCCTCTCTCCCTGAAAATAAAACCCACAGTGCTTATTGGTTTCCCTGCCCTGAAGAGCTGGGCTTCTCTGCCTCTTCTCTCACCCCACCTCTCTCTCTAGTGGCAATTCTAGTCATCTGCTCAAATCTACTCCTGTGTGCTCCTTCCCTGACACTCCAGCTCCTCGACCCATGCAGTCCCCTCTCAGTTCCAATGGGAACTCAGTCCCTCCAAGGCAGCTGGACCTCGGCTGTGATGTCAGTCATCAGTGTCCTCGGGACCAGTACACAGGGGCTCTCAGCTGAGGTGTGCTGAGGAGGAATGGGACCCCTACCTGTGCCCTCCCACTCACCCGTACTTGGAGTGAGGACACTTGATGTGCTCGCATTCTTTGAGGTGGGCTTCCAGGTTCATCTTGAGGAGGGGTGGGCAGCTAGGATTGTTGGGGCAGCGCACAGGCCTGTAGTCACAGCTGCCCTCGTGATCCCTGTACAAGAGTAGAACATGGGGCATGTGGGAGGTTAAGCTAGCCAGAGCCACATGGAGCCCCCAGAAACAAAGGTGCTCAGAACTCCCTGGGGGCTGATGGCTACTTACTTTCGGGCACTAAGCTTGATGGTGAAGGGGCACCCCCGAGGGTCCACCTCGAAGACACTGGGCTTCCCTGCACCCACCACACGGCAGCCGTGCCTGCAGTGGATGAAGAGCTCCCCAATTTGTTCGGCCACTGCGATGTTGTTCACCACCACTGTCAGCTTGGCATTGTCCACAGGACACTTCTCTGGGGGAGGAGGGCATGCTGTTCCCATAGCCTGCCCAGCAACCCCATCCCTGGTAGCTCTGCCCAGTGCAAGCTGAATCCCACTGAGGCAGGAGAGCACAGTGGAAGGACCAGGTAGGTGTGAGCCCACTAAGTGCCTGATCCACCCATCTATGACCTACTGAGATGCCTGGCACAGGAACAGGTGAAGGGCTGGGCCACCCAGAATGACAAGCAGGTAGTGACAGGCATCTCTCAGATAACCCAATAAAGTCTTTTTTTTTCTTTTGATGGTGAGGGGGATTGGGGATTGAACTCCGGGGCACTTGACTAGTAAGCCACATCCTTGGCCCTATTTTATATATTCTTTTTTACTCGCTTTTTGAGTCTGGCTGTGAA